GGTCCCCCCTAACATTCCTACCAGACCCCTGACCCGAGCACAGTGCAGGAAAGGGGGACGACGATCGAGCGGCCCCTCCCTGCGCCTTACCAGGCCACGTGCCCTCTGCATAGGGGGGGTGTCCCCATGCCGATGGGGGACAAGGTCCTCTTCCCCACAACCCTGACCCTGTGGTTGTTGGGGTCTGCCGGCAAGGCGGCTTATTTGCATCGGGGTACACCTTTAATTAAGGTGACACCCAGATGCGCCCCCCTCCCCGCTTGTGAAAGTCCAGACTTTTAGATAAAATCCTTTAATAAAAAAAAAATGGCTCCATCGATGTAATCCAGCGCCACTCACGATGCACGACGCCCGCCGACCCGCCGAAATAAAAAAAGTCCCGCCGCACGACGACCACCCGAACCCGACGAAAACTCGCCGCAAAATGACTGACTGTTAAAAAAAAAAATATTCTAATGTCACTTTGCTGCAACGAAATTTCGACCGGACTACCGCTAACGGATTTCGGAATCGGGAATTCGGATTCGTTTGCATTCGTTATTATCTGTAATTCGGAATTCGAATACATCCAAATCTCCGAAATTTGGTTTCGAAACTAAACGAATCGCACGTGTCCAATGGGATGGATCAGAGCAATGAGGAGGAAACATCCAACCGGCGGGTTATTTTGTAGCCTTTCCTTCTATAAACGTTCATGTTCATTACATGTAGACAAAAAGAGAAAGAAAGTATCAAATAAAAGGTTTCCTTTAAAGGAGAAGTATGGCGTCAGGGCTTTTCCCCCATAGTTCTCCTCAGGGTAACGGGAGGACACAAACTAGCGTCCCCCCGTCACCCTAAGCTCAGTATATAGGGAGCTACAGCTGGCGGTATACTGAGACGACGCAGCCGGAGCGGATCCCGACAATTATGTCTGGATCCGCCCAGTTGTGTGAGTGACAGCTGGCTCCGCCTATCTAACCAAATACGGTAGAGAAGTTGCGTCTCTGTCCTTTGTCTGCCGGAGGAATTCCTGGATCATGTCAAGAGCTTTATCTCTGGCCTTACAGAGTGACAGATTACAGCCGCGCGCTCTGCGTATACAATGTCATGCGTCCACATCCAATACGCCCGACATCATCCATGGAGGACACTCGCCACACTTTCTAATGGTTCTACGCTTTATTTTTCAGGATTCAGTGCTGTCCGTGTCCTCGGCGGGAAGGATTCCTTCTACTTCCTATCTCGGTTATAGTGATGACCGAGACAACAATTACAACCTGACAGAAGGTCTAACCCTTCACCTCAGCATTTTATTGCTGTTTATGTCCCCATTGAAGACCCTTCCCCTCACTTCCTGTTCGGGTGACCACTGTTACTGGGACAGGAAGTCAAACTCCGCCCAATAGTGACACCGGCAGCGATAAAAACCTAGCGGGATCAAGACAGCTGACAAAAGGGAAGTAGAAAAAGAGCATAATGTACTGCTGTTGGGGGTCTCAAATGGGGAATGGGGGCCACGGGGAAAGGGGGAGTCTAAGGTATATCTGGGTTTGAGTGGAGTAAGGAACGTTTAAACCCTGTCAGGTTTTTTTGCCGGTTTTGTCGAATTTGGGAGATTTTCTTCTTGGTATTGGAAACAGGAAGTGAGCGGAAATCCTCCCTTAGACCGTTGTCATTGGAACAAGTGTCCCCATTGCAAAATTTCTCCTCTGTTCCTGTTCCAGTGACAACTCACAATTTTGGATTTTCAATGGTCAGCAGGACAAATAAAAAAGGGGTGGGACCCCCAGAGAGGACACATGCTGCAATAAAAACCTTGCAGAGGTTCCAGCTGCCCCCTCCCTACCTCCCTCCCTGTCTATCTATAGACAGTACATACCTTCAGCCAGTGGCATAACAATAGCCAAAGCAGCCCATGCAGCTGCTATGGGGCCTGGGGGTTGTGTTTGTCATGCGTAGGGCTGCCCTATGCTGACGCGACCCATGCGTTCACATCTGCACGCATGAATAGGACCTGATGGGCTATCAGTCCTTGTTTTGGGGGGTTAGAGTCCTGGCTCAAAATGATGTAATAGCCAACATCCTACGTGCGGTGCAATAGATTGTAGAACATATACACTATAGTGCCAGAAGTATTGGGACGCCTTTACACGCACATGAACTCTAATGGCCCCCCAGTCTTAGTCCGTAGGGTTCAGTACACCTGAATCCAATGATTTAAAGGGGGAGGGGCCAATACTTTTGGCAATATAGTGTAAATCTGTCTACCAAGAGATACAACTCTCAGATCTCAGCAGAAAATGTCTCCCATGACGTCTGGAATCCATCCAACCCTGAAATAGTAAACGGCGGGTAAGTCTATGAATGTCTAATCGAGGAGCCAACATCCCCTGAGTGACAGTCCTGGAATGTGGTCAATAAAGACCACTTAATGTCACAGCCCACTGATTACACTGTGATGAATGATGATAGTCTACAAACAATTCCAGCCACCAGCTTGTGTACATAGAGTAAGCTGATCTCTGTCTAAGGGACGCCAATCATGGAGTTGGTGGGGCATTTTGTGCCTTTAGTTCTTTCTGGAAGACGTGTCACTGGAGATGGAT